CTGGAAGCCCGGAGCTACATCTGCAGCCTTTCCACTCACTCTCTCCATATGTCCATTCAAGGTCAATGAGGATAAATATCATAGGTTTATTGAAATTAGACTAAGCACAACCCAAAGGTTATCGTAACATACTTTTTAGAAGACCTGAATAAGTGGTTGTAAGCACTGTCACACTGAATAAACTGCAGGACATCTTATTACATTCTCCGACAAGTAAGTGAGCAGATACACCTTCTTAGCATACATTTTCTATCAAACTAGCCCGATGGAGCACAGGAGAGGAAAGCGTAGTGTAATCAACTTCACTTTTAGTCCATTTTTATATGGGATCGACTGAATTACTTGAGGATGGTGCTGCCTTCGCGTTTTTCAGCTCACACGTTTGTGTGCAGCTATCCGAAGGGAAGGAAGCCCTAGAGTTCGTCAGCATTACTCGATAGACGATACTAACGTTCACAGGAATGATAATTTTAGTCACAATGCAAGTAAATGTGGAGTGGTAGGTGTGAAGATGAACAAACCCTGAATAGCTAACGTTTCATTGTTGGGGACAGTTTCGCGTAGTATGTACTTCATTTACGAGCATCAGCCGTCGGAGATTCCGTCGAAAAAACGCTTGCCTGCGTAGCTTCTGTAGCACATTATATTAGCCGTGAAGTTAGATATTGTAATATAATAGATAAATAAGAAAAATATCGAAGACTCGAGCCATCCAGAATGCGAAAATTTCCACGTATATTCACTAGAATATCATCTGAGACCGTTTCTTCTCAGCTACTTGAGAGTGGGAACTAGGTGTTCTTCTATTCATGCTTTTGATTTTAGTTCCAAAACTGCCAACTATTTTCCCCTAATTGTATCGTCCACCTTCTCACGGTTGATTTAACCTTTCCGAAATGAGATCTACTGCCCCTCAGAGACAGGTATATTGGAAGACTACGGCGTCTATTAAGCTCTTCTTTGTGTACTCTGAGGGCGAAATGTGTGTTTTGAAATAATAGCAACTTGCATCAGTGTAGAAAAAAGATCCACAGAGATCACACACAACCTCACATAAAAGATTCGTGTGGATTAATTTCACTAAGACGTCTCGGCGCCGATAGTTGCAAGCCACACACATCGAGACACAAAATGCAATGGTGTGCTCTAGCTACTTCTCCTTTTTGCGAGACCCATAAGTGAACGATTAACTTTCTTAAACCAGTATCTTGTGATGGCCAACAATGTGGTCTGTTCAACAGTTGCCACCCACTATTGAGGAAAAACTGATGGAATTGCAAGATTTTCACTGCAGCAGGCTCATCATAAACGAATATTTTGATAGTTGTTTCCAAATTTTATGTTCAAATATGACTTGAGGCTGAAGAAAACTCGAGGATGAAACAGGGGTGGGTGGGCGTTTGAAAGGTTTCCGGCAAACTTCAGTGTAGTGTGTCGTCTTACCTTTTTTGCTACACTGCCACTAAATCTGTGACACAATAGATTTTTGCGAGCAATATCCAAATAAAAAAATGTAGAGAAGTTGAGCAAGCGGCTTTCTTACGTGATATAAAATACGTAACTTGACCAGTTCCTTCGTTTAGCTTTATAGTGTTAACAGTTCCTCACGGAATGCGTCAACCACGAATGGATGCTCACTGGTCGCGCGATAAAATCTGGCTGTACCGGTCAATGTAGGGTTTCTTTTATTTTTCACAGTAGTGATTCGACTGACCATTTGATAACTACATCTTTGGGTATTTTTACAAAATTCTCATTCACGTACATTCTGATTTCCCATTTTGCCCAACCCGGTACGAACAGCTTTCTCCGGACAGGAAGGCTGACCAGAAACATTCAGCTAAATATCCTAAATGTCTTTGAGAAATACACTCATTTGCAAATCAATTTGGTTTTCACGTGAGACTCTCGTTTATGATACTCTACAACTGAATGTGCTGCACACAGACCGACTCATATTTCAGTTGGGACGATATTCTGGATATCGCAGTATATTTTCATAGAGGAAACTACTCACAAGGTTGCTGAAAACTCTTCGACAGCCCACGACCGGTTTCGCCCTTCTTGGGGCTCACCAGGTGGGCGCGAGAGGTAGACGAGAGATTCAGTTGAGTCTCTCGTGAAAACCAAATTGATTTGCAAATGAGTGTATTTATCGAAAACAGTCTATTTTGGGCAATAGTCTGCTTAATTTCCACTGGCTGAAGACACCGATGTTTTAAAGGGGGCGGCGAAATGCACCGTGTGCAAAAGCCAGGCGGTGTGGAAAATTTGGTGTCACTGTACCTTCCTGTTCTCTAAATTAACTTCGCCCACAGAAACCTATCATTCTGTGTGGTGTTTTTAGAGGTTTTCTACATCAGTTCAAGAATACTCTGATTTTTGTCGTGTAGACGGCTCACATCCTTCCTGGAAATTACGAATACTTCTCACTTCCTATTTTTTGAACCACACATTTGGTAGGAGTAATGGTTGGTGCGGTTAGACGGTCCGACTTAAGCAAGTGTTGTCCATACCTGGCAACAATTTTGTAGCAATCCATGGATCGTTTGGCCGGTTTTCTTACCACTTTGCCAATGATTTATAATGGAAGTAAAACTGTAATGATCAACTTGTGAGTCTCAGTTATGTTTCACGTAAGTTGGAGATAGGAGTGCTCAGTTGTATTCACACTGAGCCCTGATTTTGAACAAGGGAGACAGTCAGTGTGATTCATGACAAAGTGGTTCAGTGTTGCTTGTAGCATATTTTTAACCTTTTTGCTGGTTCACTTTCGTGGCCCTTCGATGTCGCCGAAGGCAGTTTTTCATCAAACCCAGAGTGATCAGTCAAACTTTCAAATTTTTAGACAGTGTAATGTAACAGCGAGGTAAAAAACGATGTGCAGTCCGGTTGGTGAATTTGAAAGTGAATATGAGAGGGGAGGGCAAAGGTGGCACACCAGCTCCTGGTTAACTAAGAACATCTCTCAAGGCACTTAAGAAGACGCGTCTTTCTTGGAATAGTCAGTCTACAAAGGATTACTGTAATAAAAAACAAACTTAGCTCTTTGTGAATCGTTGATGTGTAACTTCAACTAACAGGAGCTCTTCGGAATCCCCGAGACTTTTAAACTTGAATCCAGTAACTGCAACGGAGGTATCTGCACCTTAACTCCCCTAGAACACCGCGTCTACGCGATGGGATGACGAAACATGATGGTTGAGACTACCAGAAAAATCTGAGATTTGTTGGCCTTGAAGCAGCGCTGCATCGCTAAGTAACCCAGCGCGTCCCAAGGGTTTAACTAACCCTTACATCAACTGGGAGCAAGGCATTTTGCAGCCGATCGCAGCATTGTGTATGAGCGAATTGCGCTGAACTGCTTTTCGCTACCCCCATATGAAGGCAAAACTTGCGAAGTTCTCACTTACAGATCTGTCGATATGTCGTCTCAGAAATAAAGGGATTCACAGTGCTTAAGATTCGCATTCCCACAGCCGAGCTGCAGTGTACCGGTTAAACAAGAGGTCTGTTAAATAAAGGATAGTCGTACTGCTAGTGGTCGACATTAATTAGAGAAGTTTGCCCCTGAAGTGAAGACGCTCTAAAGGAAAGAAGAAAACTGCCTGATCTCCAAATTACTCGTACTGCGAGAAACTTCCTGTCTCCAGTTAGATTTCTTCAGAAAATAACGACCTGTTCATCCAAGGCGCGAGTAGCCCACGTCCCCATTCGAGTTCCATGCGGAAACTGCAGTCTTCGTCTGGTTGGGCAAACATATTCCATAACATCTGAAAAGAACACATCTTAATGATTGTATTTTAGGTGTCTCTTAGGTCGTCTACAATATAGTTGACTGGGTTACTGTCTTTAGTGGTCAGATGAGTGTCCACGTTTCTAAATGCTATGCATTCCTAAAGTGCACATGCCGCCCCAGAAAACCGCTTGTAGTGCATTCCCAGGGCGTCGCACACTGTTTGGTTTTCGTAGCACGTTACAAACGACATGTTGACATTTTCTATGATGCCCACGAGTTTGCACTCTGCAAAAGGCGCTTATGTGGCTGAATTTTTGTTCCCGGTGGAATACTGAAGGGTGTACAAAGCGTCTGCAAATAAGTACAGTGATGACGTGAATATCTCCCATATTAGTCGGCCGGCTAAGCTGCATGAGAACCACCTCGAATGTCATTTGTACTTCCTATCAAACTGAGTCCTGTGTTGATACCCTCTCAGTCCGTTTAGCTCCGCGCTTGACCACTTTGAGGCTGGATTGTGAAGTATGGTTGATGTTAGTAGGGGGCTACAGCTGCCTGGTGAGTATTAAAACGGCGAAACCGGCAGGTGACAGTTTCCATTGCCCTCATAAGTAACGTCATGCTACGCTTTTGAGCAGTCTCCAGCCGATAATTTTACGCTAACTGAAATATGACTTGCCCTTCCCTCATCTTCACACAGAAGAATTAACGAACATTTACTATCAGCAGGGAACACACTCACGCCTTGACTCGAGGGTGCAAAGATAGCTCACTCAGCAATGAAGGCTATCTAAAAGCTGATTGGCTTTAGACCGGTGGGTGTGTTTGGCGACCGCCCACGTACTGTCAACACGAACAAGCTTCTGGTGCGACAGCTGACCAATGGTCAGCGAACGGGGACAGCACGCTGGAACCGTAAGGAATGGTGGCTTTAGTGGTTGAAAGGTAGGTAACAGACCAATAAATGTACGTCTTCATTATGCAGCTGAGGTTCATTCGACAATAAATCTCAGCAAACGGAAACAATCTCCTGTTTTCCGTTATTTTGGGCCTATTACTTGTGCGTGGTCACTGATCCGAACTTAATTACTTGACCAAGCCTTCTCGCCTACACACATGGGAAGTACTGAACAACGTTTGCGTTAAAGGATTAGATCTGCTTCCAAATTGTTAAAAGTGATTAAACCTCCCTCCCGCTGTGTGAAGCGGTTCCACGTAGGTTTTCGGAAGAGACCATTCGACGAAGCCAGACTCATCATACATGGAAAAATACCGCACTGAATTAAGGGTCCCTGTGGACATGGCGAGAAAAACCTTTGCTGACAGACATCGGGAGCGACTCGGTATTGACCAAGATGAGCGCTCTGTTCATTTTTCCACATCACCCGAACACAAAACGTTGCATTCTACACCTTGGCACAAACCATTTTCAAACGGTTCGTTGAATTCATCAGATTTCACCGAAGGAGATGACTGGTTTGAAGAAATGAGACGGCGCTTTGAAGAACGCCGCCGGAAGTGGAACGAAGATGTGAAACGTATGAGGCAGGAATTTTTCACTCTGGACTCCAACGATCTAAGGAAATCAGCCAGCCCCCCAAGACTTTTGCTGCCACATGGGACAGTCGGTGCACGCAAGCCATTTTCTGGTACTCTGGAAAAGTGTTCTGATGGTAGCATGCAGTTTGTCGCAAATTTCGACGTGTGTGGATTCAGTCCGGAGGAATTGCGCGTTACGATCAGGGGAAACGAAGTTGTGGTGAGCGCGAAAACGGAGAAACACAGTGGAAGTAGTCGAAGTAGTAAGGAATACACGCGCTCTGTGACATTACCAGAGGGATTTAACGAGGAACAGGCTAACGCAACCCTGACCACGGATGGCGTACTAACATTCATATGTCCCCTGAATCAAGGACCAGAGGAGAAGAGATTTGCTTCACCGGAAGTAGATACGCAGAACGCAGATGGTCGAGGACCGATTGGTTGGTATGATCGGTCCCGTATACGCAAGACTGACAGGAGTACACCTTACAGTCATTCACCTCAATCGGTTCGCACAGAATACGATAGCTCTTCCAGTTTAAGCTATATACGGCCAAAATTTCGCTTGGAGATCCCCATTGACTCTGATTATTCCCCAGCTGAGATTCAGATTCGTACACTTAACCATCGCCTTTATGTGACTGCCAGACACGAGGAACGCTGTTCAAATCGTACAGCTGTGAGAGAGTTTTCCAAAGAGTATGACATACCGGAAAATGTGGATCCGGAGTGCTTGGAGGCCAAACTGGAAAATGGGACCCTTTACATTGAAGCTTCCTCAAAATAAACACATAACTATTGCTGTTAGTTTCGTCTAAGTTCATTCCTCAGCACCTGAGCCAGCCAGCCGAACACACCATGTACATACTTTTCCCGACACTACACACTTCCGGACTGCACAGTCAATGAAATACCTACACTATAGCTCCCAGGCTATATAGTGCCGGCGGAACCAGAAGAAAGTGCACCGCGGTGAGATAGTCTCAGTCTATTCTCTATTCTTGTTACAAAACTTTTGACTACGCCATCTGTTGTGCACATTCATAAGTGAATGAAATATAAAACATCGTCTATTTCGGTTATTGTCTATGCTGTTCGAGTCTAGACGATTAAAACAGGTGAGAAGCTAGAAGGGAATATGACAGCTTCATAATGATAAATGACCCCCTGAATTAGTAGTGCACGTTTCCGATTTCGTTAGCTATGTATTCTTTCTAGTCAACCTGAATCGTTGAAAATTGTTATACGATGTTGACAAAGAAGTATGGAAGCATCCAGTCTACTTCACACTTGGTTGAAAACAAATACCGAGCATTCGGGAGTTGGTTAGGCCCAAACGAATGCTTCTTCGGGGAGTTCTGTTCTGTTTAATGTAATAAATCGCAGAAGATATAAGTAAATGAAAAAATGTGGCCATGTGCGAGAAGCATGGGAGCAATTTCACTTACAGTATGTCGCGTCGGAAGTACAGTCAAACGAGTGGTGTAGACTGATATCAGACCGGTAGTGCTAGTAATTGAAGATAGTTACAACTCCCATAAGAGATTTGTCGCCGAAATTCCTCCTGATACAACCTTACCCTTGGTCACGTTTGAGGATATTTCAGGTTGTGATTGTGTTTCAGGAAGTTTAAGGGTGGAACAGGCTATCAGATGTGAAGTTTGGTTTTAATGGTCTGGTGGCTTATTAAGACATTCAGCTGAATTTTGGTGGCCATTTGAGACGCTTTAACCGAAAAGTCATAGGCCGACTGAAAGAACCTGATAATCACCAAATCGTGGGCTTGTATGTAACCAGGTGTTTTTAGTAAAGGTGCAATCCGACTCCGGAGAGTCCAACTGTACGACTGCCTTCCTTTTTGTTAGGATGCATCAGGCTGGCGCCGAGGTGTCAAAGATGTGCTTTACCTATCGATTGGTTCCAACCATTTTCCTAGTGCAAATTCGCTCTTTTCCGTCCGCCACTATGTTCAGATAATCCAGGTAAATTAACAGCCAGAGAACCCTTGACTAAATATAAAGCAACCTCGATTCATAGAAAAGTCGGTTTTTAGCATCATTCTCACAAACCGGTTTAAGTTTTGCCCAAGTCCTTCAATCTTTGCAGACGCTTGTCTTTGGGTTGGTTAACAAACTCTTTGGAATCGCTGTTCCATGGCATTTTCACCTTCGACTTGTACGATTTGAGCTGGCATGTGCCAACTTGGTTGTCGCATATAAGCGGGTTTTTATGTTTTCCCACACAGTACCGAGACATCGCCTCGGTTTCCTTCGGAGGTATCGAATGAATACAGCAGAAATTTAAGATGAAACTTTATTGATGAGATAATGCCCACAAGGATGAAAGGGTTGCACTGTCATTGCGATTGCCGTCGTAACTTCGAGACTAACGGTTCTGTGATCGTCATCTCTTTTGAGGGCTCTTGAATTGTGTCATCTCAGTCACATTCAGTTAGACTGTTACAAAAATTGATGCATTTATTGAGGTTTCAAAGATGTTCCAAATGTATATTCAGCTTGAGAGGGTTGAATGCCCGATGAATGAATCTCCTAAGAATGCAGGAGGTAACTTTTACCCATTCTGTGGGACAGTCCATGGGTTGGCTTGTCAGTTCACGCGTTTCTCTTCGAAACACATTGCAATTAACTTCGCCATGACTCGTATTTCATCAGTATTGTATTGCAAATTTTTTGGCGTCTTTACTCATACGGTCTTTCGAAAACACCCTTCATTATAATTCAACCTATGCAACCAAATAAGTTTGGACGGCGCTTTACACACGGTTTGGCTGCACCACAGAGCTTTTTTTCTGTATAGAAGTGACCCAAAGTCCATCGGAGCATTTTCAGTGACAAACAAGAAATCTCTTGCAAACAGCTGTAATCCCACCGGTATCTTGCGGTTTTCTGAGTGACGGTCATGGGAAAAACTTATTCAGTGACTTGGATGTGTCACTCCGCAATCAGTAGGAATTCTTCCACAATGGTAGTCCTAAGAATGCACAATAAAGCAAGTGTTTTGCCACGAAGTGTCAACTAAGTGGTCTAGGTTATCAGAAAAGTCCATTTAGGGCGAGTTGCATTCAAAGAACAACAAAATTGTTTTTTCTTCAGAGTAACTTCAGCGAGCGTCGAGTATGTCGTCTCGGCACTTAACACTGAGAGTTTTCTGAAATGTTGCGTTTGTCGCAGGGGATAACGACTACATTCTTCGGTCTCCAAATGCAGGCGACATGACAACCTAAGAGTTGTAGTCGCTAAAATGACTCACTTTCGTTTGTCAACCCGTCTGGCTTAAAGATCACCGGTAGCCTTCATTAGTCATAGCTGACTCATTTCAACAGTAATCTCACTGATGGTGACTGGTCGGAACGTAACACCTCAATAATCTTTGGACGTCGCTGAGCAGTTCGTAATTACCAAACTCTGACCTTGAAAGAGTGAGTGTGTGGTCGTGTCCCGAAAATATTGGCTAAATGAATGCTTTTGTCACTACTGAGGAGCATCAACTGGGTGCGGAGGAAACGAATACGTCACTGTTCTGCTAACCGTTTCAAAGCGATTGATCCCAATGAGGATGCAAACGCTTAAGTGACTGAGGTCTTCGGGGATCGGGTCTCATGGTTATTATAGTACAGCGTCTCCAGAGTGATCACTGACTGAAGCGGTTGTATGTGGTTGCTCAATAGGTTCTATACAGGGTTTCTTAACCTACCGCTTGTTCGGGATTTGGAGCGTAAGACTGAATTGCAAGTAAATTAGGTTCAGATTATCTTGGCTAGAGATGTGGGTAGAGATTACCTCTAGATGTCGCTACCATACTGCTTGGAATTCACTCTTCAACGGTAGTAAGTTGATTTCAGTGAACCGGCCCAAGGCAGTACCTTCACAGAAGCGTGCTGTAAATAGGCTTCGCTACGTCATTTATTTTGTCAGCCTAGATTCTTTGTAAAAAGCCGTTTTCTGAACGTGCGCAAATGACGTGCTCTATTTTGGAGACAAGCGATTTGCCTGTTTATGCCGATAAATGCAAAACTGTCCGTACATTTTTAATTCTATCCGCCTATCACATTAGATCACTCGATCAGAGGCGTCTACCAAATTCAATGCGGGAAATGTGATTCACGGATGAGTACTGTAAGATGAAGTGTAAGTGAACTGTAAGTGATGAACCGCCAAACGAGCCAAATGGTGTTCCGCATATCAGACAATGCATCACGTGCGACTGGATGAGTAATGACCTCATGTAGTGAATTCCGAGTTGTGCACCCAGCGGATGGTCGAGCACTCCGGTTGTCTCGACATAATGGTCACTTACAGGGACACTTCCCTGATGAGCGCCGTATCGAATTACCTCAGTTGTTTTGACCATATTTTGTTTGCAATTCTACATTCGGTCTAGAAGTTTGGGAGGACGATGGCGCGAAAGAATATTGTTACGTCCACTGCTATTCTGAATAGAGAGTAAGGGAGAATGGATTCCAACGTGAAGTCACATTTCCCTCATGGTTATTTAGATCGGTCATCCACTGAAACAAAACAAAACTATGAACACGCGTAGAATTGCCATTCTGTGATCCTTACAGACTCGATCAGGCTTTGGATTTTGACATAGTGAACACTACTGCAAAAATTCAGCCTTACCTACATTAGACTGGAAATCACGGCATAGAAAAAGACAAAATTAGTCAGGTGAGCTTGTCATAAACTGCATTCTGTTACAGTTGGTGGTGGATGTTGCTGTATGACAAATCAGAACCCAAAGACAATAACATTTCATTGAATGAGCTCCGATGAGCAATTTATATTACAAGGGATGGTATTCGGACATATTTGAACCGCAGTTTGCTATGCTTCCGCATGTTGTGCGGCATACAGGCTGCCTTGGGACCTCGTCATCGCGTAGTCTATCAAGAATCCTTGGCTTTTACGAGCAGTATGGAAAAATGGCTCCAAATTCACGATGCGGGATTCCGCTATATGTGAGGTGTCTTGCTCTTAAGACCACCGCCCCAGTGGAATGTCGAACTCGGAATTGGCTATGAGGGAGCCACAAGACCCAGCTGTACTTCGACTATTGACAAGAGCCAATTAACAAGATGACAGTGAATTTTTCTGCATAGATAACTTCAGATTTGGATCTTGGCCCAATCTCGATCCCCAAAGTATTTCTTTTAGAAACCTCATGCGGTGCGCCTGTGCAGACTCCAAATTTGTCAACTGAGGTGCCCGGCGCATATGAATCTCAAGCATTCCATGGTCAAAGTTCCATGCTCATCTGATTCTGATTCGTATTTCAGTAAATTTTTGATAAAAAAAAGAAGGGCTAATTTCGCCCATCATACACTGATTTAGTGGAATTTCGGTGGGCTTTTTTACTGGACAGCGACCACGTACATTTGCATCCCTGCTGGAAAGCACGAATACCACCACAAGCCCAGCTGCGGAATTCGATTCAGCCACTTTTGCTTAATGTGGCATGGGTAGTGGAACGTATTCTGACTTCAGTTGGCCAACTGGTTATTTTCAAACCACCTAGTCACGTGATACATAACCTTGATGGTAATCAGACCACATGCAGCGTTCAAACTTGACTAATCATGCTGTTTTCTTGCTTTTCGGGACTAATTATATCCTGCCTTAACTCAGCTAAGAACCTATTCAAAAATGTTGCACCCCAACCGTCCATTATCGAAACCACTCGGTCTCCACAGGTTACAACTACCTGATTTGTGCGTGAGCAGCTTCAGTGGTAGCACGTTTGATATGACTGAGCGAGTGTTTGAGATGAATCAGTAACAAGCTCATCGGAATTTCTATTGTTGGTTGGTCATTCGCCAAGCACCTGACACCTTGGAGCGAGCCAGTAATCAGCTGGGACCAAGGTCAGTATCTCGGTGTCAAAATGACGGTAAATTCCAGCGCCATTTCAGCTAAAATGGTTGTATGACTTAATTGGACCTGATCGAAATATGGGGGCACGAAGACCGCTAGATGCATTGCAAATAATGTAAAATACAGATCATAACCATTCACATTAACCAACGACAGCCTTTGCGGTCATTCAGATTCATCGTTGTTAGAAATATTTCGATTATGTGTTAAATTTGTTTGTCGAGTAGCAGTCAATAACGGGCTCTGTTTCCTGTCATAATTGCACGGAAACATAAGAGAGGGCGCAGTCCAGGGCACGCTCCCTTGAAAGCAAGGACTTCAGTACATTAGTACCGGCTCCACTGGACGGGCATACTGTACAAATGCAACAGGATGGAGTCAGACGGCAACTGAGTTGTGTAAGAATGACCATTTGTTTAGATATTGAGAGCTGTTTACCCACCATTTTTTCATCTCCCGTTTCCGATGGTGAATGCTGATACTGAAAGCTACATCTGTGATCTTATCTCGTCAGTCGGACGAACGGAGACAAATCAGATTTATTCATCCAGAGCAAGTCAAACAACAACAAATGATCCTCTGCTCAGTTCTTTTTTAACGAGAGCATGGTTCAGAAAGTTTCGCCCCGGGAAAATAGGATAGAGACGCTGGAAAATTTTAATGTGTTTGTCATTTGCGGTATGTAGTTAGGCAATAAAACATCATGAAACGGTGTAATGACAGATTAACTACCTAAGGGAAAATAGTTCATGTAGATCATGTAGTTCATGTTCACGCAGCAAAGGGCTCTCTAAAGTCAGATAAACAGATCCATCACTAGTTTCTTTAACAGAGGATTACACCTACGGAACCTTACATAAGAAGGTACTTTCTCGTGAACTATGGACAATGAGTTTATTTAGTGGTGATTTCTAATTTACTGAGTCATGTTTAGTCTCATGTTAGTCGGAGCATAAATTTTTTCAGACCTTGTTTGTTTTGGCTCTCGACCTAAAACAACAAAGCTTGAGAGATGGAAAATAGTTTGAGTGCACCTGGGTGGATTATTGCAAAAGAGATAGTACCATTCGGCCAAGCATGCAAGTCAG